GGCCTGCACCTCCGCCGTGGCTGTGTCCGGGACCCTCACTGTCCGCATGAGCGTTCATGAATCGAATGAGACAGGGGAGGCAGAAGATATGTCCGCACTTGGCCATCCTGGGGGCAACCGGTTCGCCGAGACAGATGGGGCAGGCCGTCTGCTGAGACTCGGCGCTGGCGAGCACCTGCATCACGTCGCCCCAGTCGAGATGTTCGTCCGGATCGGTCGCTTGCAGGGCGTAGTTGCCAGCCGGGCTGACGACGAAGCGGTAGTTTGCGTGTACGTAGCGAGCCTTGTCGGTCGGGTGGCTCCATGTCGGGTTACGACGATATGAACGGGAGCTGCTGTGGCCGTGGTGTTGGGAGGTATAGACCTGGCGCGGGGGCAGGGCGTAGTTGAGCAAGTGGGTGATGGAGGTCTGGCCCCGACGCGACGAAGGGTTCCGCACGGCGCGTAGCTCGGCTAGGGCGTCGTCTCGATCGAGGTTCGGGGCCCGGGACGAGGAGGAGGGAGCCATGCCGGGTCGCCGTTGGTCTCGGTGTTGCTTGCGTGAGGCTTGGCCCTTTCGGGGAGCTCCAGGGATGGAGACGGCGGCGGTGTTGCTCGGTCGGCGGCTCGTGTCGAAGTTGGACTGGGCGGGAGACTGGCTGGACGAGGGCGCGTAGGTTGTTGTTGGCTGTGCGGAGGGGGACTTGCCCAGGGAATGGGATGAGGATGTCGAGGTCATTATGCGTTCAAGATAAGGCGGGGAAGAAGGGAAGGAGTGAGCTGCTGGAGCTCAATATGGGCATCAAGTTGAGAGGACAATAGGCCGTGACTGGCGAACAATAGAAGCAATGGCCAGTCCAGTTAACAGCTCTATTCACCAGACCCGTGATGGCGGTATGAGTGGAAGTCCTTTGCTATTGTTTTGCCCCTCGAATGGCCGTTGACTAAGGCCGAATTGGGTACTGCTGGGTGCTGGCGAAGGGATGATCTCATCGACGCTGCGTCCGTCTCGTCAAGCCGGGCGGACAATAGACTGGTCAACGACGTGTTACTGGGAGAATGGTCCAGTCAAACTGACACAATAGAAAGCAACGCGCAGTCAGAGGTGTTGGGAGGCAGGGTGGTCCAAAAGGGACGAGCCCCAGGATGTGAATTGGTGATCCGACAGGAGCGAAAGAGTCACTTGGTTGCGGGGCAAATACTGTATGGCGATGTCCCAGCAGAGCTTAAAGCCACCGGTAAAACCGTTATCGTCCGCCGTATACAACCCTAACCCTTATTATGCAAGTTTGTCAGCTCGCCACTCCTCCAACATCATCACCATCAACAACATCAACATGTATTCACTGATATGGAACAAGAAAAAGAAAACCGGAAAACTGCAAGACCAAGACGGTAACATCCAGAATTACAGGCAAAATGTTGCAATAACCGTCTCAGATATCTCCAATAGCGATTGAGTGATTGTCCTTGAACTCACGGCCTCCCCGATCTCAACCGCCTCCTTTCGAAGGTTCGGAGATTGACAGGGTGTGCCATGAAGCTCTCAGAGGTTCTCTATCTAGGTAATTATTGACAATGGCGATCTCAGGCGTAAACCTTCCTGATATGTATTCTGTTCTCCGGAAGGGAAGGGATAAGCTGTCTAGCCAGCACCTACCTTGAACCAGATTCGTCCTCAGCGGCACTGTCCACTTGAATAGATGGAAAGATTCGATTTTTGGCAACGATAGGTCACAACTCTACGTTTGTATCACCAGGGCACTCCTTTTTCACCTTGCATCCAAAATACCCAGACCTTCAGAGCCCCGGCTTATAACAACTGGACACCACAGTGCCGTTGCCTGCCAACCCCCTTCAGAGCAAAGTTGAAGCAGAGGTTAGTGTATGTTTCTGAAGCAAAGCGCCAGGGATATAAGACTACCAGAAGAGAATACCGTGTCTTGGATCAGACTAAATACAGTGGTTACTTTTGTGGTTATGGAATCAACAACTCCCTGAGGCCCAGCCGCTCGAAGTGTTTCGGCGTTTCGCAGGTCTTCCATAAGGATATCGGATCTTGTTCTCCGGTCAGCACTGACGATGGGTGGCATTGGAACACAATTACTCGTTCAAGACACTGCACTCAGCTCACCGGGAGGAAGACGACATACCTCACCCGGACTCACTAGTTCGTTTGGGAAGTAAATTACAGTCTCAGGTCTACTCAACCGCGAACAGTCACACGAGCAAACTCGGCCTCAGGCGAGATACAGCAACGATCCTTACACAGGGACGGCAACGACAGACAGGACGGCGCAGCTAGACGGCGCGACGGCGCGGGCCCCAAACGCCATCTGTACCCCCGAGGAGCAACTCAGAATCGTGTCGGCGCCGTACCTCGACCTGCCGCCGCCGCCGCAGACGAGCGCATTGCTCCCGGCCGTGAGGGCGCAGTCCAACATGACGTGATTCGGCGCCCACGCGACGGGCATCCCCAAGGTTCGTGAGGGACAGCACCGAAACAGACCCGGAGTCCCAGTAGCCCCAGTACGCGTCGAACGGGTTCGCTGCCGGACCCACGGAGCGCAGGACGCCGTCGGCGTCGATCCAGAACTGCGAGGCGAGGTTGACGTCGGCCGTCGGGAACCCCAGGAACGAGAGTGACGAACCGCCCGTGTCCTGCAGGACCTCGTTCGCCGCGTGGTTACCCAAGACACTCGTCTGCCAGGTGGGGCCGACCTGGGACGCCACCTGTAGGTAGAAGGGTCCCTGCGCGATCGCGGTGGCCGTCACGGTCGCGGTGGCGATCGTCTTGGTGACGGTCCGCGTCGGGACGGTGGCGGTGGCGGTGGCGGACTGCGTCAGGACGGCGGTGGACTCGGCTATGGGCACCGCGACGACCACGAGCTTGTTGTAGATCGATGCTGCCGTGGTGCCGGGTCCGAACCCCAGGTACAGGCTCATGTCGAGGAAGAACGAGTCGGCCGGCGAGCTCGTTGCTCTTCGGGGCGACGGTGCAGTTCAGCAAGCTGGCGCCCATCCTGCTGGCCTCGCTCTTGTCCCGCAAGTACAGCTCCATATTGAACGGCTGGTCTGAGGGCGTCCAGTGAAGTGAACAAGGCCGCGTCGACGGGCGACACGACGGCGCGCAGGTACCCGTCGCCGTCAATGTAGTACTGCGCCGCCGCGCTGCGATCGTACGTCCCGATGAGGACGGGGGAGTTCTGGTTGCGTCGGAATTCCTGCGCGACGTACCGTCCTACCGCCGCCACATTCGTGTCGGCCGGGTTCCGTCGGAAACTCCTCTTTGACGTAGATGTAGAAGGGCCCCTGGGCGACGACTGTCGATCTGGACGTCTCGGTGGAAACGGTGGTGCTGGCTGTCTGGGTGGTACGCGTCGTTGTGCTGGACTCGGTCCCGACGTCGTTAGATTCTGTCAGTGTCTCGGACGTGTACAGGCTGACGGTGGTGGTTGTTGTTGCGCCGACGGTGGCCGAGGTGGTGCCGCGTGCGACCCCGACGCAGGAGCAGGCGCTCGAGTAGCCGACCTCTCCGCCACACGCGGAAGCATACTGGGGAATACGGTTCGCGATGGCACGCTTCTTCCTCCTCCGCAATGGAGGCGCGACTAGCGGTTCGTAAGTTGTCGTCGTCGTCGTTTGTGTGGCCGTCTGCAGTTCCGCTTGTAAGCATTGGGCTTGGAGAAGGAGGGCACGCAAGGAGAACTTGCATCTTCAGCCGTTGCTGGGGTGGGAGTTATATATACTGTTGTCGCGGTGCGAGTGGCTCTCTGTGCTGAAAGCCTGTTTGCCTGCTGCGAAGCAGGGCCTGTTGTGTGGGACGTGGTGCGCATGTCAGAACGCGCTGTTGAGCAGCCTCAATGCCGGCCAGGTGGGCGGCAACGAAGACAAGTGAGCGCAGCCTCATCCTGTGTTAGTGGCTTCCTGGTAAAGAGCATGGAAGAATGGGTTGCAAGCCGAGAGTTGACTGTGGACGCAGGGAAGTTCCTGATTATTTGTATCCAGAGGCCACAAGTGGCGACCTGATACTGCCCGTGGTACTATGTGCCCACGCCGTACAGATCGCGAAGGGAATGTACAATAGCCCTTAGGAAGAGCTTAGCTCGCCGCTTCATAGAAAAGGGCCTATAACGGGACAATACTCAGACTACCTAGACTGTGAGTAGGGGATTCCCGCCGGAAGTAAACTGCCGTTTCTAGAGTTGTTGAACACTAGAATCAGCAGCCAATTAAGGGAGTATCAGGTAAGACAGGAAAAGCCGACAACATCAAATGCTGGGAGAGTTTCCTCTACCTGCTGGTAGGTGTTAAGAAGGACGATGCGGCAAGGCTCACTGATCTGCTCATCTCTCATCACTGACGACAGGAAATTGCAGCTCATTACCGCTTGATGTTTTGAAGAACATGGAATGCCAGTCGATAAGCGAGAGAACCCATAAAGAATGGCCCCTATAAAACGTGAACCGACCTCAGACAAAGAGAGAACGACAACAAGAGACATCTGCTGAGAAGCGACAAAGACACAACTGGTGAGTATACCACCAAAGGCCTCCAGTACGACAACACTTTCCTCTGCCCGTATAGATGAACCTTGTCGTTGTCCTACTCCCTCTTGCCATGCCGTCTCTTCTGCCGTCAACAGTACGGTGCTGACCCTGTCTACGGACTGAAGCATGCCTGCTCTCGCCATGTCACACTTCACATGCCGTGGCTCTTATGTACAGTCAGAACATCTGGTCCCTGTTTGATATTGATAAACACTCCCATAGGAGATTCGGTGATGGATGTAGAATTTGCTGTTGAAGAGTACTTGAGACCACCTCATGCCCTGGCGGTCTGGCTCTCCCACCCCGGCATCCCGGCCATACGGACAACTACGGTGCCCGGCCCTCCACCCTTCGCATTCGCTTAAGTTACCGGTGTACGATGCTATGCTAAGCAAAGCAAAAAAGGGGGCAGAAAAGGGGTAGAGAGGAATCACCCAATCCAACTCAACCTACCCAACTGGCCCCCAAGGCTGCGCCAGCCGCGAATCGAACGCGGGGCCCATCGAATCCTGATGGCAACGATGGATTTTACCACTAAACCACTGGCGCTTGTGAATTTGATGAAAAGGCGGAGGTTGTGGAGGATTAGGAGAACTCTGACCGCCGGTGGGCATGACTCGCGTAGACATCGGATATGCTCCTGGACGGAAACACGCATGGGATATGCAGGTGATGACTCGTGAAGCGTGCTTATTATGTGTCGAAACACCGAGGGAGGGAGAGGCGGTGGAGTGAATTCAGAAAGGAATCCGACCGGCGGTTGGTAGACGTTATTCGTCAGTCTTTGGACCTTATCACCGTGGAGAGAAGTGGATGGCACTGGCCATCCGTCACGCGAGACTTTGCAAACAGCCCTGCCAGCTTTGGTGCGAGATCATGCCGGAGCCACTCAGGAGCGTACCACTGGAACCTGGGGATGATTTGCTGGCTATATCGACCTTGCAGGTCAAATGAAGACGTGTGGCGATCTTGTTTGTGTTTGAACCCTCTGTGGACCGGGGGACCGAGCACCATCATATTCGTTTCGTTCTGAAGATCAACCAAGGACGATTTCCGTGAACCAAACTTCAAGGCCAACTCCTGATAAGGACCCACGTTGATCCGGTAAGGGCGAAGTCTAGTTCGGGCGAAGTCACTCCGGGTCGATGTTCCTGGCAGTGCGATGCCACAGAAGCAGTGTCCCCCGTGTCTCAACCACATCGGTGACCTTTGCAGGCTTGTAAATTGCTATCTTGTTGGACGGCATAACAGTCGGACTTGGAGAAGGAGGCCTCTGTGGTACGGATGGCTCGAACAAAAGGTCGGAGATCGGTGGGAGGTGGTAATCACCGAACCGCGGAATGTGGCGGTCGTACTGGGACTGCAAACCCGGATCGAAATGTCACAGCAAGATCTGGACGACACCCTTCTTCCTGTCATGGGCCGTCTCACGAAGCACGTCGAAGGAGTTCTGGCAGCATGCCATCCGATCTGCAAGGTGTTGGTTCAGAGATGAAGGACCGGTTGAGGCGCCATGGAAGGATTCTGGGTGAAGTCGATATAAAGCTTTGTCGTCAGGAATTAGACCGAGCTTAAAGAAACGCCAAGGAATGCTTCCAAACGGCCGCGACATGTTGAATCATGGAGCGGCATCCTGGTAGGGCTGAGGCTGAGCATCGTCGGCTCGACCTTTGGACCCCAACATCCAGGTCCGGACCCCAAAACTTCGTAGGCCAGTGAGACGGATATCTAGATCCTCCGACGAAGCATAATTCCGTTGACAGTGCTAGTGCGATTCAAGCTGGAATAAGGAGCTTGAACCTCCTGTTCCGACTGCAGAAGCTTTCGGAGACGCAATTGATGTCCGGCAGCAACGCAAAGTCCGAGCCAATGTTGTTGAAGTTTATTTCTGGAGATCAGACAGGAGAGACACGCTAAGAATGGTCTTGAGCACTGGAACAATATTCGACACACTACTGAATGTGGTCCGTGCTCACGGCTACCGGCAACGCCCGTTTAAGGTTTGTGGGCCCAACAGGGGTGCAGCTGACACCCACCTCACGCTCCGACACAATATCGGAACTTCAGATGTGGAAGGTTCCTGTTCTTCAACAACTCACCACATTGTTTACGACTCCTATTGACATGGGCCAGGCATGCTCGTATCATCCTCCTGAGCATCCTCAAGCTAACCAGTTCTACGCCGTGTATTCCTAGCCCGGAAATTATGAGCCAGCAGAAAATCATTTCTTCCGAAGAAAATGCTAACGGGGTCATGTCCCTTGCACCCATCTCAACATCCTCGAAGAGTCCACACCGCCCGAAAGTGCGTCAAAGGGTCTGGATCATATGACAACTCGGCTCCGGAGAGTTGAGAGCGGTCGGAGGCTTAACAGGCTCAACTATAAGCCTCTCCAATGTTCTTCTGCCGCGTTTATGCTGCACCGGAGCCAACAGACTCGAGGGGGGGGGGACATGCCGGGACAACGTCTTAATGTCACCCTAGAATCCGGGGATTTGTCAATCTATTTTTTTTTCCGGCGAGCTTGCGTAAGTGACACTCTTTATGCCGCCTGCAATACTACCTCAGTCCAACAGCAGCGGCACTTTCTAACATGTCGCGCTTCTTGTTGGTTCCATGTCATTGACGCCTTTCGTCGACCAAGCCGCCAAGTCGCGCGATCACCAAGTGAGGGAGGTCGGGTCGGCCCCGGGGGACCCCGTCAGCTGCCGATGATGCTCCACTACCGATCGAGCGACGACGACATGGCTACTACAGCAAGCATCTGCATCCTAGGCTAGCCATCTGTATGGCAAACTCTCAATGCTGCATACTGTGTAGGCATCGCCGCAATTCGCCTAATCCTCTGCACTCAGCCAAGCGTTCACCATGTCACTCATATCATTGTCACAGCCAGCATATGAAGAGTATGGACCTAGTCAGCGGAGAGGAACGATGGGCTGACGCTAAGGCTTCGAGGATGATGCGAGACTCGTCTCATCTGCAAGTACTATCTCAACTGCATGTAGGTTCACCCACACCACTCGCCTTGCCGCGTGATGAGTGCCTGATGAGTGCCGCCCTTCAGCCCCGGGGGGGGGCTCCATATCTCGAGCGCGGCCAGTTGCCAATCGTTCAGAACAGATCGTTGCGGAGACGTCAGAGCAACAACCGTCCAGACCTGATCTGATGGCTTCTTCGTATGGCCGCGATACAATGTTAATCAAGCAAACTTACTGAAACGTCCAGCCGACAGAGACTAACATGTGGCTGTTTCCGACGGGAGAACCGATACATGCCCTCTCGTGCGGAGTACGCCTCCAGGACGCCAAGCAACGGATACTAGGGCTAACAAGATCCCTGAAGGAACAAAAATAGGTCGAGTGCCTGAGTGAAGACTGGGCGGCCGTCATGTCGTCTGCTGCAATTGGTCAAGCGGCCGAGGCCTTGTCCACACTTCACGGGTGGGCTCTCTACATCCCGCAACCACCGGTGTCGATCTTTGGACCCGTCTCCTGGATGTCGAATCATGTGTGGCTCGTATGTGGTCCCGGCCTGTGGGAACCCCGTGGGCACCAGGCCGTCTTCTGCATGGCTGCCTCCATCAACACGGTACATCCAATTGACTTCTCCTTCTCACCAAGATTCCCGTCTGGGCGGCGTCACTATCAGTTGTTCGGTCCCGGATGCTCTGCAAGCCACTGCTTCCCCGCCCCCTCGGATCGCGCCTCTCAGGCGTCGCATGCCAGCGCGGTTGGCGGCTGCACCGACACCTGAGACACCCTTCCAGCCACAGGGCGTTTAACGGACCCAATGCTGGGGATGTCCAAGTTCCTAGTGTCATGTCCTATTGCCCTTGGGTGGCTTTCTGTCGGGCTCGAACTTGGCACTGATGCAAGAGCCATGCGACAAGGTTGTGGTGCGTTGTCTCTTCACACGCCCACCTAGGAACGGACCCTCAGCGGAACATAAACATGAAGGATTGTCGCATCGGGGGCCCCGGTTGGCGGTCAAGAAATGCTAGCCGGCCCGGTATGATATGCCAAGATGCGATAATAGCTGGCCGCGTGCGCGATGGACTCGGTATTACCAGTAAAGCAGCAGCCTGGAGTTCCAAGAGGTTCAAACATGGTTTTCTCGCTTTCCAGGAACCAATCCTGCCAGATGTCGCCATGGACCATCATTTCCCCAACAAGGAACTACGAAGTACGTACGCAATACTTGCGCAAGTGCTTGACTTATCAAACTGACAGGAAAAGACCTTTGCTCGTTAATCATCACTGGCACTGGATCGTCACTCCCACTAGCCTCTAGGATCATCACCGCCGGCTTGTTGAAGGTTGAAGACGGGACTAATCACCCCGTCCACGTCTTCGAGACGATAACGAGTCAAAGCCTTTATCAGGGCGTCTCCTCTTTCTCTTCCCCTCGCAGGACCGGTGAGCTTTGAGCTGCTGGGCGACTTTTGCGGTCTCAAGGTCTATTCTTCTTAGGATTAAGCTCGACTTTAAGCTTCTTCTTTGCCGTCTTGAAGCAGTCGAGCCAGATCACTCCCGCGATCTTCCGTCGACCAGGGGTCTCGATCCTGTGTAACTCTAAGCGGTACTGTACAGCAATACAGACTTAAGCAGCACGCGCCAGTCTGACCACGACGTGCATAGTCGCGGTGACCTCAATGCGTCCAAGGCACACAGGGTCACCAAAGTACACTGCGCCTCCCCACAGCTTGTCATGTTACTCGACGCTGGTGGCTGTCAGATTAGCGCGACATCGTTCAATGCTGCCGCTGCCGCTAGCAGGGCATTGGACGGGGAAAAATTGAGCCTATAATGCTGCCATTGCAGTGGTGTGCACTGGTGCAGTGGTTTCGTATGCTCCTCCGAATCCTTCTGCTCTACGCTACCCACGATGCCAAGTCGCGGCACCCGACATTTACTTCAGGTTCCCTCACCAAGCTTACAAACACCTCGGGCGAGATTTCGTACGACGGACGAAGACGGACATGACGATATCGCCAGAATAACTTCTGAATTCCTCACAAGGCTGAGATTCGTGGAAGTTCCGGGTGAACCAGGACAGGAGAACGTGGCTCGGTTCGCGCTACGAGATGCACTTGTCACGTCCAGTCCGGGAGGATCTCGTGGAGAAGTCGCGACGAGATACCTGGGATGTACAACGAGTGATCAACCTCCGGTACCTGATGTATTCATCCAGCATCCACATATTGCTGGGAATCTGGGTTACACAGTCTGATCTAGCGGATGCGTGCCTTCAACCCTTCCTTGTGCCCAAGTGGGCGATGCCAATAAATGCATTTTCCAGACGCGGATGGCGTGGTTGTTGGTCGACGAGTCGTTGGCTCTCTTTGATTGTCATTATCGGGTCCTCAGCGCGCGTAATTCCAGTGCTAAAGACCACTGCATCCCACTACGACTCTCGACCGGCAGGGAGTAGAAACATGGCGCGCATTTGTACCGGCCTTGTACCCAGTTGACAGGGGACCCTGACCCTCTCCAAAGGGGAGGGACATGCATCCAATGCCTCTCCGCTGCAAGACACCTCACCTGAT